GTCATTGACATACCCGCCCATTGAATTATCGCGAACTGTGCCTTTAATCGAAACTGTTATTTGACGTTGTTATTACAGAAAAATGGACTATTGCATGTGGACCACTCGAAGATTGCGACGACGTCCCAATAGTAAGTTCGTTTCCAGATTGTAGGAAATGTGTTCAGACGAGGAAGGCCATGGAATGAGTTCTAGTTTACCTATTTATGATTCACTTCTCTTCAAGTATTCCAGGTGTCCAGATCTCAGAACGACTCTTTAATTTTCCCTCGGAGGCAAGAAACTGCCCATGTAGATTGTGGAAGAGTGCTCCGTGAAGACTGGGTCAGATTTAAATTATCTATATCAACTTATAAAGCAATGATGACGAAGGCGATGGCTTTTTTGGGATACTTCGTAGCATGTATTCGAATTGCGCATTTCGTGTTTTTTTGAAAGAACAATTGGTCGAACAAGATAGATGGCCAAGATACGAGGTGAAAGATAAGGTTTTTTGTAGACCTGGAAGTAGTTCAATAGAAAAATGTAATGTCAGGATGGTACGCGTAGCAATCCCATCTGCCTTCGTGATCGCCATAACCCATTTCGACTCGTCGATTCTACGCTCGGTTGAGGGATAAGCTCTCAGAAATTAGTAACTGTTAGTCTCGGTAGATGAATAGCCTCTCAGTAAACAAAACTATTAGTTTTTGAAACTGTTTTTCGAAGCATTCCATAATCCTGAAGGCCCATCTATGCAGTAGGGGACGCTCCGTATGAGACACCCTCCTCACCATCCCAACCTCCATTTCAGTCTAGTATTTAGTTGGTAATGTACTTCTATGCACATACTCCCAACCTGGCGATGCTTACCTACAGTAAGTATAAAGTTTGTTCTGAAAATGTCCCCTTCGCAACACACCTTCTGTTGATTCGCCCGTCAAGATCGTAAAAAATCCTAAAAGANGATCGCATCAAAGATGGGTATGATCTATTCCTCTTGGGATTAAATGAAAGGGAAATATTAAGTGGCTAGCGAAATGTAGACCACGTTTGATGCCAATCACACTGCTTTAGAACAAAGTCGGGTAAAACGCCTGAAGACCTAATAGGTGGTTACCTCCATGTTGACACCGGCTGGCTAGACCGTGGGCCGGTACGTAGCTTCCTCTCTTTGCACTCCAACATCGTCGGGAACGCTATCACTAAGGACGTTATGCTGTTGCTACTCTCCTTAGCCGGTCCTCTTAAACAGGCGAAGTAGAATAAGTAGAAGGCATTCTTCAGCACTGTAAATGTACTATAACAATATGTAGTTTGGTGAAATGTTCATATAGTGCAGGTAACGGGAGACGGGCGTTGGGAACGATTTAGGGTAATCGATATGCCGCACGCGGCTGTCGCGGACCGAGTAGACGTCTACGTTACTCAATTACGAAAAGTGGACGAAAGCAGAGGAACCATTGCTGAAAGGTTGAAAACCCTTAAGTGGAAAGCATTTTAATGCTAGTACACTCATTGGAAGCGACGAGGCTTCATTTCGAAAGATATTTGAAACATAGGGCAAGTTAGAAGTGAGCCAATGTATAGGTAGTGGGCTTGCCCTTTCAGACGATTTTCTTTACTACTTTGCATTAATTACCCAGAACGCTTGTCCGTTTCGTCATCGTGGGCAGACTTATATGTGAAGCATAAATTAAAGAAGGGAAATAGCAGTATAGCGCGGCTCGTGAGTTGACCCATCTGTAAAGAACCACAACACTTGAAGAACATCTTGGTACTTCCTAATTCTTATCTGATTAGATTTCCTTTCTTAATAATTCCAAAAGACCAACCTTATTTATGCCTCTTTATCCAAAATGGCCGAGTGAACGCGCTTAAAAAGCCCAATACTTCAGAAAAAATGTTTATTCATCATAGTTGTTTGCTTATTTTTTGTTTCCTTGCACAGTTCCATTTTACAGGAATATATCGCATCCATCAAAGCCGAACGGCCCAACTTGCGTCGATCTCGACCGCATTTCAACTGCGAATATATTCGCAGCAAAGTGGTGACTCGGAACGATTACAAGGAGATTCCATTTGGTGTTGCTCATGTACGGATTGTTTACGAGGTAATCCACTCTGTGAAAAAATTTTTCCTATCTTTGAATCAAAATAAATTACTTTCTCAAAACCCATCACTTAAATGCCAGACCCATTTNTCGATCGCTCACCTTCACCTAGAATGAATGAGATAAAAAAAAACCCACTCGTGAACTCAACGTAGACTATTTTCAGAGTTACGACTTCATAGAAGAAGAACTTGCTGCCAGCTATCATCCACAAAATGTGTTTTGTTATTCTGTTGACAAAAAAGCACCACGCTATTTCAATCTGCAGATAGAATTTCTTTCTTCGTGCTTTCCAAATGTTTTCATTAGCCCAGGTAAGGGATTTTCCATGAATTCTTCGAAAAATTCAATAGATTTCGCGGAGTAAATTTGTCCGTTGGAATCAGGCAGTTTTTATTTCATGAAAGTTGTGCATTCGTACCAAAAGGTACCATGTAGCCTCCATAAATCCTGAGGCGACAGATTCTAACGCAACCGTCAAAGCCCTCGCGCCCTCTACCGACCTGAGGAGGCCCAGATGGCGCGTAATGGCCCACGCTTCCACTGCATAGGAATACTTCAGAGGAGAGAGTTATCAGCAAGCGCAAAAAAAGTTGCAATGAGAGAGTTCGAGGATAATTTTGCTTTCTGCCACTATTTCGCTGGAACGAAGCTATCGCATAGAGACCCCTCTACGAATGAGCCGACTTTGAAACGCTTTCTGGTTTTAATAAATCGAGTCTGAGCTGAATAAACTAATAAATTCATCGAAATGCATAAACCACATCACGGAGCATTGGAGACCTTTTTGGCAAGTTTGCAACGAAAAAAAAACAGTGTTCATCGTGGATTGTAGTTTCAAGCTCTGACCCCTTCTCTGGCACACTTCTCACTTCTTCGACTACAACTCGTTCCAGGCCCTGACCTGGTACCGGCCACCATGCGAAACTTGGCCATCATTGCGTATCGTATAACCATAGTCATTGCAATTGCAATGCAAAGATACCCTTGCGCTTTGACTTTGATATGGGAGTGGTGGCGGTACTTCATGACCCATATGCAATGCAGTAGCCACGCCATTGGCCGTTGCTCATCCAATCACACCTGAGACGTGGCCTGGCACGCATCGCGTATGCACGCTGATGTTGCTTATCATTGCTTTTTTGAGGGAGTTTATGTCATGGCCATTTTTCAGTGAGATTCAGCGTCACTAGTCGTGGCCATTACCAGAATCATGCCTATCATGAATGTCTTAAACTTCTTGTACATGTCCCTGGCTGGGAATATTTGATACGCATGCAGGTGCGTCAACTAGCGTTTTTTATGGTTAGAACCTTTTTTAATAGATATTAGGATCAAAAGGCCCTCAATGGTTTACTTTCAAGAATTATGATATCATGCTGAAGTCCGTGTATGAGACAGTTTCAATATTTCAAGCATTAAATGGAAGTAATGATATTTCTGTTACTGGGTGTGATCCTCTTCGTTGGGATCATTCTGCAAAATGGGATTTACGATCACTAAACCTATATCCGGAAGGTATGTTGCTTTGAGACATCTTTATAGTAAACGATAAAGTCAATGAGCCCTATTTACGGGTGATTCACGGGAGCCCCTTCCTCTCACACTCCCCCCCCCCCCCCCCCCCCCCCCCCCCCCCCCCCCCCCCANCTCCCCCTCCTCTTCCCTACCAAATCCAACCTTCCATTCGGAATCGTAGTGAAAAAAACTATGAAAAACTCCATTGCCGAAGTGGGGCACAGTTCACGATAATTTTGAGGTACCTTTATTAGGTTGAAAAGCGGAAGCGTTGATATAGAGGGTACATCGGTGGCGAAGAAAGCGAAGAAATCCGTTTACTTTAAGCTTTTCAAAAGTAGTGGAAGTGGAGATTGTACAAGATCACCGTCACGGTCGGCATATAAGGAATGTTTGGGCGAGATTTAACTTGCTCCCATTGCACAAATAGATGACTACCAAGCCAAAATTGTCCGAAAGTCATGGGTTACGACAGGTAGTTTGAACTTCCTACATGGGAGTCTCTTGAGGTAGTGCAGCCTCTACGAAGCCGTTGTAACTCGTCCACGATGGGTGTGGCATTCACACGACACAATCTCTAATCCCTCACTGTGCCCTATCCATGACATTTTTCGACCTTTTAACGGCAGGTATGGTATAAAGGAGAGCCTCGAATTCATACTGTAGGGTCGTCTCAGACCATTTTTATCGTGAACTGTGCCTTCAAGCCATCCGACTACATAAGAAATCCATGGCTCAGTATATGTTCACACTTCTGAGCTTAAGCCGTCAAGGAAGCCAAAAATGCGATCAAACAAAGGGAATCTACCCAAAATTATGTTGATTCAGAAGGATAAACGTGGAATTATCGACAACCCTTTAGTATTAGTTACAGGTGTTGCCTAGACATTTTTCAGGTTCGAATGCAACATTACCCGACTCGAACACAACCCTAAAAATAGCTTGTGGTGTTGTACAGACGTCTTTGTCACGAGCTGCTGTCAAGTGGATGGTAGAGACGGTTAATCTAACTACACTACTTGACCAATTGAATGCTGATGTGAGTATTTAATTATTATTATTA